TATTTTTAATTTTTTTTTATTTTATTTTTTAACGTATTTACATATTTAATTTTTTTATATTATATATAAATATATATATAACAATAATTAAAAATCACAATAGTTTCTGGCACTCATCCCATAGCAAAAGCATTAATTCAGCAATGACCAGGTGCCTCTCCGTGCAAAATATACAAATGGAACAAATTGAGAGCACTCATTGGATTTAGTAAACAAAAAAATATATTAAATCAAACGCATATAAATCAACGTTTCGACCGTCTAGCGGTCTTTATCGTGGGATCGCCGGCGACCGGGTAAGTAATGAAAGACCGGAGGGTGTACTACTACGCCCGGCGGCGTTTAGAGCCGCCTTAAATAGGGCGTAATAGTATGCCCTCCGGTCTTAAGGGGTTAATAATATCAAACTATTTGATTATGTTTTGTTGTTAAATCTGCCATTTTGAATTTTAGTTATATTTCATAGAAAAAAATGGACAATTATGAAAGCTTTAGTGTACCTATAATCTTAATTTTAGTAATGACAGGCGGCTTCATATTTTGCTTAACTCACTTTGCTAAACTTGAAAAGGAGCACATATCATAAAGAATACATAAACAAATCAAAAATCGCATGTTAAATATACAAGCTAATACCATCTTCAAAGCTCAATAAATATAAGACATAAGATTTCTAAGACATATATATATATATAAGACATAAATACATGCATATAAACAACTAATCAAACTGAAAATAATGAAGAAGCACTGTACATATAAATTAAATCTATGTGGAAAAAAAATAAAGCCTACCCCCAGGTGATTGGATATGGGAAATAATCCTAGTAGTTTTAAACCTAATAGACCATCTTCCAATAAGTCTATAGAAAGGAATGGACTTTACCAGAGATCCAATCCACTATAAATCAGTTATGAAATATAAATCCTATACATCTAAACAAAGAAGAGGTCAAAAGAGATACCCCTACATTAAAACTATAGGGAAAGTGGATGATAACCCTAATCTGTTACCACTTAAAATGAATTGTTTCACTCCATTAATACAAGAGGCAATAGTTACATAGTTACATAGCTGCGTCCATCAAGTTCAGCCTACCTCACGTTTGTTTTTTGCTGTTGATCCGAAAGAAGGCAAAAAAAACCAGTTAATAGATACATCAGTATTATGTGTTTAAGAGAATGAGGAATCCCAATATGGAGTTTGAAGGACTAAGAGTTCACCCAAAAGAGGTCCATCAACAGAATCCAATCTCTACAAAAAGGTAATGGGTAACTAATCTAAATCAACTAATAAATATTTTGCTATCAATGAACAACAAAATACTTTTTTACAACTAGGAGAGCAAAACGAAGGAAAAAGCACATCCACTCATTTCCACACAATTACCCAAAAGGATGATTATTGGTATAAAGAGTCCAGAGGACAAGATGAACCAGGTGCAGCCAACAGTACTGAGAAAAATGCCGTAACTAAAGGGATTTTTATTCTATCTTCTTTTCAATTATCTAAATATTATCCATTAATATTTCCAATTCTATTAAAATTGTGGAGGTTGATAAACATCTTGATAAACAAATTATTTTTAATTACTAGATGATAAGGACTATAATGAGGAAACAAACAGACCTTTAGATCCAATAAAAGTCTTGGATGAAAATGGTACATCTCGCTTTAAACCGCCTTCAAAATATTCTGTGAGGGATAAAAGGAATTTTATAATTATGTTTTATGAGAGTGTCCTTTTCGATTTTGAAAAAATGTATAGTAATATGAGTAATATGACTATGGGTGAACAAAGGGTATCAGAGGAATTAAAACAAAACTCCAATATATTTATAAAACCAACAGATAAGGGGGGAATTGTGATGTTGAAAAGGAATGACTACCTTAAATAGGCTAATTGTTTTCTAGGGAATCAAGAATCATATAAATCTTAAATTTTTGATCCTTCAAAAATTGTTAGTTTTAAACTAGCTAAACTTTGTGTGGAGGCCCTTGAACTAAACACAAATATTAATAATGAATTTAAATGTTTCATCACAATATGTAGTACCTATTTTTCTTTCCCCCCCTCCCTCTCTCCCCCCAGATAGACAATAATTTGACTAATCCCCTTGGTAGACCCATTAGATCCTCTATTGATTCTCTTAAATATCCCTCTTTCCAAGGACATTTTCAAAAGTACATGCAAAGCAAGTACAATCTCATATTTAGGGATTCTAGCCATCTACTGACACTGTTATTTGACTTAAGATCGTGCCAGGTCTTTAAATGGTTAACTATCGATGTTAACGCCTTATACACAAATATTAAGAGTTTTGTCTTGAAGAAATTAAACACTATTTATTTAATGATCCCCTATTATCCAAATTTCAAGCGGATACTTTCATTTTATTCGGTTTGCCCTTCTTTATAACTATTTTTATTTTGATAAACAATTTTTTCTGCAAACACAAGGTTTGCACCATTTTTTGCAACACAACTTGGCCTTCTATTGCTGTTTTATTGATGACATTTTAATAGTTTGAGATGGGAATTATGAAAGTATCAATGATTATTTAATTTGGGTTAACGCTAATCGCTTTGGCCTGTCATTCACCCAAAAAACAGGAACAGATGGTAAAATGTAATTCCTGGATCTCCTATTGAGAGGTGAAAATGATAATGTAATTACAAACACTTATCAGAAGACAGTAAACGTTAATAGTTATTTACATTTCAGCAGTGCCAACCATCCCCAGTTAATAAATAGTATAACTTATGGCCAATTCCTTCATCTGAACTAAAAATGTGCTTACATTTATTTTGACAGAGAGGCTAGGGTTCTAATTAACCGGTTCCAGGAAAAGGGTTATTCTCATCTGATATAAAGGGTCTATTTGAAAGCCAGAAATAAAAATAGGTTTATCCTAATTACTAATGAACTAGATAAACAAAACGATAAGAAGAAAAAGACCCATGAAAAAGGAAAATCTAAATAAAACTGTAGAGGCACCAATACCAAAGGATTTAGCTCCCACTAACCTTAGAAACATAACAGCAACTACACACAACTACTACAAATACTTCTGGCACTGCCAGAAGGGAAAATGGGGAAAGAAAATGCAAATACAGTTACCCAAAGTTACTATTCAGACAGGAGCCAAGAAGGGGAGAATAAAGTAAATAAAAGGAAATTGGGCACCCACGGATTTGCAATAAAACCACATTGATAAGCATTGTTGATAAACATGGCTTTTGCAGTTTTAAATTCCTTTATTTTAGAAATAAAAAGTATTTAACCATATTTACTGCATGTGGGCATTATGCTCAAATCAGACATTATTTTTACATTCTGTTGCAATTTTTAGTAAACTGCACAACTTGTAATGCCTTCAGGGACTTTATAAATACTTAAAAACAAGGTGTTTGACCATTTTTTATTTACATGTGTTTTTCACACCTATTGTATGTGAGAAAATTGCATGTTTGATTTTATACTAAGATTTCAGATCCAGAGCGAAATATTGCAAGATGAAGCTGTCTAAAGCTTATCATTTTGCAAATATTTTTATGAAGAATGAACAAATAAGTGAAAATATAAAATTGTGTAAATTTACATATTTAAAAATTTTAAGTGTGTCTGTAAAGTAATCTATATACAACATTGCTGTGTTATATGGTTTTATGCTAGCTATGCATCTCTTGCTTCACATAAATGTTATGTTAGTATTTTTCAAAACCAAAGTGCATTAGAGTAAAGGGGAATAATGGGTGATTTGATGAAAAATCATAATTTCCTTTGGAGATTATGCCGCCCTCTTTTGCCACATCCAGAATTTTTTTTAACTCTAAATTGAATTTGTTTGTAGGGTTCTTTTTTAATGTTTTATATGTTTTTTCATCTCCCAACATTCTATAAGCCTCTTTTATATAATATTATTTGGTCATTGGGTCTATACATCCTCCCTTGTCCGCCTCCTTGATTGTTATATCTTTTCTTTTCACAAGGGTTTTTAAACTTAGGTATTCCTCTTTTGTAAGATTAGATTTGTATGGGTGTTTATTCCTATTTTATCAAATTCCTGGATTAACATCTTTTCAAATGTTTCAATATATGGTCCTTTGCTTTGTACTGGAAAAAATGTGATTTCGGTTTAAACCGTGCTTGTATATTGTGTTCCTCCTCTGCGTCTGCCCTCTCAATGGGATTTTTCAAGAAATCCTTTTCAGAGTTAATGACCATATGTATTTTTTAAAATCTATAAATGGTTCAAACTTGTTGACTGATTTTTCTGGAGCAAATTTTAAGCCTCTTAGAAGTACATATATTTCTAGGGTAGATAGGGGAGTTTCAGTTAGATTAAATAGTCCCTTGCTTGTCTCTTTGATAGGTAACACTGTGTCTATTTCTATTGGGTTGGTGTTCCCTCCTCTATTCGTATTCTCTTTAGTGGGGATTCTGTCTGGAATGACTGGAATCGGTTGAGGTGTTCCCATGGTAATTGTTTTGTCTTTTACCCTGGAGTTTTGGTCTAAAAAAACCTTCCTGTTAATCTCTTAAATGGTGGTTTGCTTCATTCGGAATGGTCTCTATAGAGGTTACTTGAGCATAGGTTCTGCTTTCTCTATTATGAGTTACTCTTCCTTTTACTCTCCTTTCCTGTGTGTGGGGTAGTTTTCTAAACTCTCTTTGTACTCTGCCTTACCTAGAGAATTGGGTGGGAGTTTTTTATGGTTATTATTTGTTTACAGAAAGAGGCTCACTAGACAGAAGGAGAGGGAAACCATCAACCAGCAGGCAGAGAAACTGATAAACAACATATGAGGTAGGCCATTAATCCCCCAGGAGGAAAGTATTCTAAATAAAGGCTTATCTTTTGTCCCTACCCCTTATCCACAAAGGCATGAGTATGATGTATGTTTATATAACTTCTTTAGACAACTTAAACTTAAGTCTTATTTTTCCACAACAGGAATAATAGGAAGGGACACAAGAGATACACCGAACTTACCTATGGACACCTATGCAACTCATGCAACTCAGAATAGAATGCAGGTGGAAGAGGATGAACAGAGTACATCAGCTAATTTGACTCACCAGACCACAGATCTATCTTTACCATTACAAACAGGTTTGAAACCAAAAAGTACTTTTACACCATGCATGGTTAACGAATCCATTGGCATATTTTCTAACCTAGTCAAAAGGGATATAAAGAAACTTAGGAAGAAAAGTAAAAACAGGAGCAAACACCTTCAACAAACACCTAACTTTACAAAGAAAGAACGGCTCATTTTAAATAATTTGAAACAGGATGACTCCATCATCATACAATCTGCCGATAAAGGTGGAGCATTAGTGATTATGGATCAGTCCTATTACGTTAAAGAGATCAGAACACAACTTAATGATACTGAGAGTTACAAGTTGATGGACAGAGATCCCACACATAGTTTACAAACAACACTACAGGGACTCAATAAGGATGCCAGACACAAAGGGATAATTTATGAGGGAGAGTATAGATACATAAACAGGAAACATCCAACCATACCAGTGTTCTATACTCTCCCTAAGATAAACAAGAACCCACAGTTCCCACCATGTAGACCAGTAGTTAGTGGGAAAGGGTCTGTGTTACAACCCCCAGCAGAAATCTTAGATAAATTCCTCATTTATCATGTGCCAATGCAGAAGTCTTCTATTAAAGACACTAATGATTTTCTGAAATTAATTGAGAATTTCCCCTTAACTGAACAAGATGATATATGGCTGGTAACTCTGGATGTTCAGTTCCTACATACATCTATTGAGAACGAGGGATGACTTAGAGCAGTTGAATGGACTTTAGATAATGATAACGACTTGATGCAATACATAGAGACTAAAAGATACATATTGGATTTATTAAGATTTGTTCTCACAGAATTATTTTCTCATTGAGGACAAGTATTTTAGTCAGATAAAGGGAACAGCAATGGGCTTGAATGTCGCCCCAACATACGCCAATATATACATGAATCGTTTAGAAGAACTACAAATATATACCATACCACTGTTTAACTGATGTCTAGTATGGAAGAGATTCATATATGATGTATTTGTATGTTGGGAGTGACACAAGAGCTTAACTAGATACACTTTTCAATCAACTTAACTCATTAGACCCCAATATCAAATTCACTATCACATGTGATAAATACAAGGTTCTTTTCTTGGACACACAAGTATATCTCAAAGAACATAAATTACATACAGAACTCTATACAAAACCCACAGACAGAAACAACCCCCTTGATCATAACAGTTACCACCCTCAACACTTGAAAGATGGCCTTCCCTATAATCAACTTCTAAGAGTGAGAAGGATAGTATCACAGGAAAACTAGGTACAATCAGGACTAGATTTCATGTGCAGTAAGTTTACGAATACAGGATATCCATTTAAATTAGTGGAAGCACATAAGGAGAGGGTATGTAAACTCACAAGGGAACAGGCCCTGAATATAACTAAAATAAGGGATAATTCAGCCAGAATTCCATTTATATCACCTTACACCCCATATAGTAAAAAAATCAAGGTCATAATTATGAAATATTGGAATATTTTTGAAGGGGATACTAATTTACCTAAAGAATTTGGCAATCCTCAGCTATTTCCGTATCGAAGGGCTAAGAATAGTGATGTCCAGAACGGTTCGCCGAATGGTTCACAAACATATCGCCACGAGCGGTTCACCACGGACTCATCATTGAGTAAACTTTTACCCTGTACCTCACAGTCAGCAGACACATTCCAGCCAATCAGCAGCAGACCCTCCCACCTCCTGGACAGCTCACTAAGAATGCAGCTTCACAATGAATGTAAAATGGATGCTGTCCAGGAGGTGGGAGGGTATGGGAGGGAGGGTCTGCTGCTGATTGGCTGGAATGTGTCTGCTGACTGTGAGGTACAGGGTCAAAGTTTACTCAATGATGAGTCCGTGGAGAACCATTCGGCGAACCGTTCGGGACATCACTAGCTAAGAACCTTAAAAATATTTTGGTACGATCAGATATTGCAACTAAGAAACAAACAAGGTTTTTTTCAGAACCCTAGAAAGGCACGCTCTCTATGCCTGGGTTGTATACACTGCAACAGTGTGATTAAAGGAGAACATTTCACACACTCATACTCAGGTAATTAAAGATTACTACACTTGCAACTTGGACCATGTAGTTCATATTTTGAAATGTCCATGTTGACTGCTTTATGTGGGAGAGACAATTAGGCTGGTTAAGCAACATATAGGAGAGCACAAGAGAGGCATCAGAGCAGCACTGCAGAGAGGAACAAGTGAAACTCTGGTACCAAGACATTTTAAACAACTAGGTCATAATGTTGCAAGTAATTGATAGTATTCCACACCTACGTAGGGGTGGTGATAGACAAAAGATGTTACTCCAGAAAGAGACAAAATGGATAAGTTCTTTGGAGACACTATATCAAATGGGTTTAAATGAAGACTATGATCAGAAACATTTTCTATAGGTCATATCAGAAGGTCTTTGTAAATCCTTAATGAATCATAATATTTTTTGTTAATACCCTAATTATGTTCAGTAAGATACCCATGTAAACAAATACTATTTTTATACTTACTATACAGAGCACTGCTCACACTAGGATTGGTCCAATTGGCTCTCGAAATCTTTCTCTATACACTCAACTTGTCGACCAGTTCCAGTCCGCTACCCGACGGAATGCGGAGGCACCACACACATTTTTCACACGAACACTGTGGGTGAGTATGCTCTCTTTATAATAGATTCGTTCGAACATTCTTAAGTAATGTGGTGTGTGACTCCTTGATTTCCTGTTGCAATAGGTACACTATTTGCTACCTAAGAGGATTTGTGCAAGGTTTAAATGTGGGTGTTATATGAGTAAGAAATATATGCCTAATCAGTATTATGCTATTAAATATTCATAATATAGGATTTTTTTGAGATTATCTATTTGTTGTCTTTTTTATATATATCTTTCTTGTATATACCCTTAAAGATTTACAGACATTCAATAGAGTGAAGATTTCATTTAGGAATATCACCACTATATATTCTGTTAAATTTCCCTATTAATCCCTCCTTTTTCCCCTAATCTTTCAATAGCTTATTAATAATTAATCTTATTAATTTGTATTTAGAAACATGGAAGTTTCTCTGTTAAATATATTTCTTCTTCACAACTTTCTTAAAAAACCTCCATTATAATAACTATATATTTTTCTCCCTATGCTTGATTTATAGACTTTCAGAAATCTGACATATGGTAAATACATAAACTGTAGAGACTACAAATACAAGCATTGCTTATATGTAACATACATGAGTGTAAATAAAGTTGTTTTAGAGTTTTGAATTAAAACGGTGCTCATTTCATATAATTTCCGGCACGCAAGCATCACATGGACATATTTACGTCATGACATGAGACATTTGCAGAACGCATGCGCAAGAAGACGCACCCACAAAGACTTATTGGAGGCGTGACCTGCGGGAAAGGCGGGCGCAAACGCAACTCAGCATATAAAAGACTTACTATTGTATTGATGATTTTAGGGCCTTCGAAGGGATGGATTAGTCCCAAGCGCACAGCCCAGATATCCCTCTCAGCAGCTTCCAGACACACAAAACTTGGACATCCCTCAGGAACTCTGGATAGATCAAACTACACTTACAAAGAGAACTTTTCAAACCAAAAAAATGGATGAGAGCTGTCCATTAAGGGAATGATCTTTGGATGAAATATTTTTTGTTGCTTTTTTAGTATGTACATCTATATATTTTTTCACATCTTTCTTTTTTTCATTTTTCTGGATTATTTTCCTTTTTTCTTTTTTCTCTTGTTTTGCTATTTTAATTTTTTCCATAGATTTTTGGTATCTGACTCCTAAGATACTCATGAATAGTATATTGCATATGGTTTTATCTACGATAATAGGAAGCAGACTGGAAGGGAATTTTTGTATTATACTGTTTTATATGTTAAATAAAATAATTAAGAGAGCGCATACAGAATCAAAACTAAAAATAATAGTTAATGGTACTTGAAGTACCCTATAAATGACAGCTGCTAGACAAAAAAAGAATTTTCCCAATTCCTATAACAGAGTACTAAAAATATTGTCAGCGCTTAGTAGATACTCCCCTTAAGATAATAACAAGGGTGCATATATGTAAAAATAATATTGCAATAAACATCTGGACTCTACATATAAGCACTTTAAAAAGAAGAAAAAATGCAGATAAAAATATATGTGGAAATATAAAAATATATAAAAGTTAAGGAGAAGGTCTCTAGATAGTCCAAAAAGTCTTATAAGATCAAAAAGGGGCAAAATCCAATGTCTGTATTGATGAATGGAGACTCAAATAGATGCTTGAAAATTCCTAAGGCAAAAACGGAGAAAAAGATATAGTGTAACTCTGTAATATTTCTTGCCCCGGTATAACAAACAAAACCCCCCCTAAATAAGAACTCTCACAATGTAAAAAAATATATGAAACAATGGTACTTATTCCTAAGGGCCAAAACGGAGAAACTTCGCGGCTGCTGGTTGTCCCGACAAACTGTCTGTTTCTTCAAAGCAGACAGCGTCCACCTCGTGCACTCTGGTGGGCTGTCCGAAGATAAAACCGTAAGGAAACAGCTGCACATAGATAAAACGATGTTTTCTTCAAAGATGATCTTGAAAAAGTCCTCAGCAGCAGGACGAAACGCGTTGATGAGGTGTTAGGGGGACTTTGCTACATATCCCCTGTAGACGGACTTTGAAGAAAACATCGTTTTATCTATGTGCAGCTGTTTCCTTACGGTTTTATCTTCGGACAGCCCACCAGAGTGCACGAGGTGGACGCTGTCTGCTTTGAAGAAACAGACAGTTTGTCGGGACAACCAGCAGCCGCGAAGTTTCTCCGTTTTGGTCCTTAGGAATAAGTACCATTGTTTCATATATTTTTTTACATTGTGAGAGTTCTTATTTAGGGGGGGCTTTGTTTGTTATACCGGGGCAATAAATATTACAGAGTTACACTATATCTTTTTCTCCGTTTTTGCCTTAGGAATTTTCAAGCATCTATTTGAGTCTCCATTCATCAATACAGACATTGGATTTTGCCCCTTTTTGATCTTATAAGACTTTTTGGACTATCTAGAGACATACTCCTTAACTTTTATATATTTTTATATTTCCACATATATTTTTAACTGCATTTTTTCTTCTTTTTATAGTTCTTATATGTTGAGTCCAGATGTTTATTGCAATATTATTTTTACATATATGCACCCTTGTTACTGTTTTATATGTTGCTAGTAGTTGTATTTACATTTATACTTCTATATATTTTTTTATTCTTTTTGTAAAAATGTTTTTTTCATTATTTACTTCTAATAAACTAGCTATATACTATTATGCATTAGAAAATAGATGAAGTGTTTAGAACACAATAACAAATATAAATGATATTTCATATAGCAGTTATCAATTTAATATCATAAAACAACCAGTCTCTAATGTGCCTCTCAAGATATTTCATGTATATATGTGCCTGTATCTTCAAACTCCCACTACAGCAAAGCAAATGTTGACACGAGTCTCTTCTTAGCGTTCCTCACATTTCATTACCAATAAAGCTGGGTTGCGTTCCAAAGTGGAACACACAGAATAGCGGAACTACCCGAGCACTTGACCGGGAACAAGATTCAATGGTGGAACACAAGTCCACAATAGAATTTTTTGTATCTAATAAATCAATTTGAAGCTTGGAGAAAGTTTTCATGGTCT